GTAAATCTGCAATTAGGCCGTTATGCTACTAAATATAAATTGTTATACTAGCTGTGCTACAATGCTTGCTGCTATTGTTGATGGTATATAAACTGTGTTGTTTAGAAGGAATATAAGGTGATAGATATATAGAAATGCTCAACTAAATTTCACCCCTTTTATATGTGAGCCAACCCATAGTTAGATATTGAAGGAATTAGGGTTCTTGTGTAGGATAGGCTATGACAATGTGATTATAGGTTAAAAACCACTAGATAGTGCAATTCAAACCCACGAATTGAGGCCCCATGCATAAGATCATTCATATTGTGATTTTGGATTCAATTATGATTTTGCTTTAGCCTGGCCAAAAGGGAAAGCTGTGTTTCTACATTACCATGTCTGAGTAAAGCCGCAAATTGAATGAAAACGACTCCTCATGTAGTGTAGATTGCATATATCATACCATTTCGTTTTCATGTTTTGAATATGATTTGTTATGTCATGTCGCATGTAAATATTGCCGCGCCATGTCATTTCATTATCTTATTTTGAATCTAATTATCTATGTCATGCTGTATATGACCATTGTCATGTCTTGTTATTTCATATCTTTATTTTGAATTTGATTTGTCATATCATGTTACATGTGAGTATTGTCATAACATGTCATTTCGCTCTCATGATTTAAATCTAAATTGCTATTTGATGTTTGCATCAGGATTGCCATGTCATGTATTTTCCATGTCCGAATTGTCATGCCAGGTTTCCATGTTATGTTTCCCGTTGAATTGCCATGTCATGTTTGCATCCAAAATACCATGTCATTTAATTCTTCATGTCTTGTTTGATTTCATTTGCCATGTCATGTTTGCACCCAAATCGCCTTGTCATGTCATTTTCCATATTTTGTTTGATTGATTTTCCTACTTGCATCCAAATTGCCATGTCATGTGATTGTCTTGTCACTTTTCAACTTCGAATTGTCATGTCATGTTTGCATTGCCATGTCATTTTATTTCATGTCACATTTCAATTCCAAGTTGCCATGCCAAGTTTGCATCCGAATTGCCATATCATGTCATCTTCCATGTTATGTTTCACCTTCAAATTGCCATGTCATGTTTGCATCTGAATTGCAATGGTTATGCCATTTTCAGGTCACATTTTAATTCCATATTGCCATGTCATGTTTGTATCCAAATTACCATGTCATCTTAATTCCTGATTTGCCATGTCATATTTGCATTCAGAATTCTATATCGTGTCATTTTTCATGCGATGTCGTGTTTGCATACAATTTGCCATGTCATTTTCACATCTAGTTAAGTTCCAATTTTATCATATTAGGATCACATTCGAATCGCATGTCATGTCATTTCCCATGTCATGTTTTCATTTCATTCTTGCATGTCACCCTAGTTGACACGACAAATGCAAACTTGACATGTCATCCAAAATGACATCTCATTTCATCTGCATCTCATGCATACACACTTTCACACACACATGAAGTCACGCCTTTACATCAAGAAAACGGCCTCGTTAACCAATAACGACATCGAACAAATGCTCTGGCAACATTTTGAATTTTAAAATCGAACATCATGTGTTTTTACGATATGAAATGATGAATGACTACGAACCTTATTCGAAAAATGGGCCGTGGTATCGAATGGGCACCATGAGATGCTAAGGGTCTGTTTAGTAACGTTTCTGTTTCTTTATTTTTCTGTTCTTTTGTTCCCCGGAACAGAAAAAGAACAGAAATCCGTTTAGTAAAAAAAATCTATTTTTTTGTTTCTAGAACAAAAAAGTGTTCCGGAAATAGATTTGGAACAGAAACAAGAAGCAAAAACAATCTGCTTCTTATTTCTGGAACAAGAAAAAAGAAACGATTTTTTTTCTAGAATTCTCCAAAAATAAGAAACAATCCATCGGCCGCAACCCGCCCACCGCCGCCTCTCGCCGTCCTTCGCCGCCACCTACCGCCCGCCTTCCGCTGCCGCCGCCCGCCGGCCAACGCTTGCCGGCCGCCTCCCGCCCGCTGGCCGCCTCTTGTCGTCGACCACTGTTCTCCGCCGCTCGACGCTTGTCGCCACCCGCCACCGGCCGCCGTCCTCCCACCGCCGCCGCCGTGCTCCATCGCCCGACGCCCGGCCGCCACCCGCGCCGGGCCGCCTCCCCGCCAACCACCCGACGCCGGCGATCGCCCACCACCGGCCGCTGTCTCCTTCCGCCGCCGGCCATTGTGCTTCTACCACCCGACGCCGGCCACCACCCGGCACTGGCTGCCCTCGGCCGCCGGCCACCTCCCGCCTCTGGCCACCCGACGCCGGCGGTCACCCACCATCGGCCGCCATCCTTCGCCACCGGCCGCCGTGCTCCATCAACCGACGATGGCCACCCTCCGCCACCAGCCACCTCCCGCTGCCGCCCCCCGCTGCCGTCACCGCCGCCCGACGCCACCGTGCTCCGCTGCTGACCCTCGTGCTCCACTGCCTCTCACCGCCGGCCGCCATCCTTTGCCGCCGCCGACCACCGTCCTCCGCCCCCCACCGCCACTCGCCGTCCTCCGCCGGTAGCCCAGAAGGGAGAAACTCGTCCATGGAATAGAAATGGATCATTCGCGCCCTAAACGCGTTTCTATTCTTTTTCTATTCCAGGAATAGAAATTTTGTGCAGTTACTAAACGCTATTTTTTGGTCAGAAACTGTTCCAAGAAATAGAAATAGAAAAAACTATTTCTGATCAAAAATTGTTTCTGGGAACAGAAACGTTGCTATGCAGACCCTAAGGGGCTGTTTAATAACCGGCCAAATAGTACCCAATTCTATTCTTTTGTTACCCGGAACAAAAAAAAAAACAGAAATTCATTTGATAAATTTTTTGTTCCTGGGCACAAATTTGTTCCCAAAATCACTTTTGGAATAGAATCAAGAATAAATAAAAAAGTTGATTCATGACCTGGGAACAAGAATCAGAAATGGAAAATTTTCTTCTTCTTCTTCTTCTTCTTCTTGGCCGGTCTTCTTCCGGGCCTGTGGCCAGTTGTCGTCCGGCAAGGGCGGCGGCGAGAGTCCAGCCCTCGCCGGAGCTGGCGAGGGCGGCCCTCGCCTATGGCCGGCACCGGTGACCTGGCCATGGGACAAGGAAGGGGAAGAAGAAAAAAAGAAAAGAAAAAAAGGAAAAAGAAGAAGAAAGAAATATTAAAAAATTCAAATTATTATTAAAAATATTATTTATAAAAAGAAATTTGGTATAGTTACCAAACGTATTTCTATTTTTTTTCTATTTCAGGAATAGAAATTTTGGGTAGTTACCAAACGCCTTTAAATGCTTAGAAATTATTTCCGGAATGGAATAAAAAAAATAAATTCTAAGCAGAAATTGTTTACGGGAACAGAATAGTTACCAAACGCACCCTAATTCGTCCCAAGCATGACTGAATCCCCTGGAACTAAGACTATATATTTTTTTTTTTGACAAATTTCCAGCACACGTGCACTAGGTAGCTCACCTTCTCATCATTGACTTAAGTTTTCGAAACCGATTGGTGGTGACTTTAGTTTGTTGTTTAAGCTTATTACCATATTCGCATCTCGTAAATTACCGGAACTTAGGATTTCGGGAAGAACCTAGGTACCGAGACGCTACTAGCCGGCGACCCTTGATTTGCAAAATTCGGGGTGCAGCACTAGTAATTGCACCAGGAATAATGCATTACGATTTTAGATAAGAGAAATGCAAAACGAATAAGTATTTCCCTTTCATTTCAATCATTCTAATCAATTTGAATGCACATTAAATCTATTTTGAAACCCAAACCTTGGTCCTGTAATTTTCCCTTTCTTCGAAATGACATCGATTATCCATGTCCCATTACTCGACATTGTAAATCCCCATGTACCTATATTTGGTTCAAGCAAGTCTTTGAACTTTCTAAAAATTGGTCCACTGTTTATCTTTCAATCAAATTACTACTCATCAGAATGCTCATTTGGACGAAACGCTGCTTAACACTAAAATCGCTAATTATGAACCTGTTCGAACCAAATATGATTACTTGAGCCATTTTAAACCACCTGCAAAGGCATGAGAATCAGTGGTGCTTTTTTCGTTTTTTGCGGTAATTAGAAACCCGCACGAGGAAAATCCGCTGACTTACATCTGCATCGGCAATGTTTCTCACCGGAAAATCATCCACAGACGGCTCATCAGACGTTTCTAAAAAGTTTCAAGACTTGATTGAACCAAATTAAAGTACATAAATATTGAATAAAAAATATTTAATATCACGAAAAACCCCAAACTGGAACACATATGATAAATTTACCCTAAATTAATATTTTGGCTATAAAAAATCTCAAACTTGTACACCCGTGATAAATTTACCCTCCGTTAATTTCCATTAAATTTTACTGTCAAATTATCGAGTTGGATGACACATGGCAGTTGACGGGTGTACAAATTTAGGGTTTTACCTTCTATTCCGATTTGTGATTTTCGTGGTATTAATCCAATTTAATGGAAACTAATTTTGGGTAAATTTGTCATAAATGAACCAATTTGGAATTCTTAGTGGTCAAAAATTTAGTTTGGACTAAATTTGTTGCAGATGTATCAATTTTGAGTTTTTTGTGGTCAAAAAGTTAGTTTAGGATAAATTTGTCGCATATGTATCAGTTTAGAGTTTTTCGTGATATTAATTCAATAAAAGAACATGGATCACTGGGCGCTAGTGTCATTTTCCCACTTTTCTTGATGTGCCCAGCAAGCATTTGTTGGACGGTGATGCCAGGGCTTAGGCATCAGAATAAGAACCAAAGAAGGATTTTCTCTTTTTGTTCTTCATTTTTCTCTTGCTTTTACTTTCACATGTATCATCAATTCAGGTGTGGAGGGGGGAGGAGAACAAGCAAAATGGACCAGCTGGTTAGGCAGTGGCTCGTCTCCTTTCACGGTCTGTAATAGTAAACTATTAATTGAATTCAAAACTTTGTAGTTTCTTCTTGGAAGCATTCAATATTTTAAGTAAGAAACTCTGACAATTTTCCTAGAACCCAATGTTTTTAATTTCTCTTTTCCCCCACTAAAATTTGCTTTTTCTACATTGGCACCATCCTCACTTTAAATGATGCTCGCTCTCTCCCCTCTTCTCCCACACCAATAAGCTCATCTCCCCATAGTCATCACCCTCACCAAACCAAGGTCGAGAGAGAGAGAGAGAGAGAGAGAGAGAGTTGGTCAAAAGAAAATGGCCAGAGATCAAGAACAGTCATCATGTAGCCATGCATATGGTTTGGAGGAAGAAGATGAAGAAGACTACATAGACATGGAGGTGAACATGGTGATGAGCACTTCATCTTCCTCAATCAGCCCGAACTCATTCTTCTACACCATCCCTGCTACTTCACCTCCACACCAGGCCAGAGACTTTGAGTTTCAAATGTCCTCATCTACCGCTTGCCCAGCTGATGAGCTCTTCTACAAGGGCAAGCTCCTCCCTCTCCACCTCCCTCCCAGACTCCAAATGGTCCAAACCCTCATCCAAGGCCAAGACCCATGTGAAGAGAAATTCCCCATTTTTCCCTCATCAGCCTCAGCTCCTCCAACAAGAACAAGCACCCCATTGGGCTCACGCAACATCTCCCCTGCCCAGTCTTGCAGGGTCAGTTGTGAGCTGAGCCCAGCAGATTTTGATGAGGATGACCATAGCTCCTTCTTTGAGTGGTCCAATGAGGTCAGAGGCTTCATCAATCATGACGGCCCAAAGAAGCACAACTCTCGTAATTGGTCCAAGAAGCTGAAGCAGATCAAGCAGTCCTCGCTCTGCCAAAGGATCAGAACCTCTTCCAGGGCATTCCTGAGGTCCCTGTTCAGCAAGTCTGGGTGCTCAGATGAGTCTTGTGCTAAAGCCTCAGTGGTTGCATGCAATGCAGAGGCAGAGAAGCTCTGCAGAGAGAGAGAACCCTGCAGCAAGTACATGAGAGTAGAGAACAAGAAGAAGAAGAAGAAAAGCAACCCCTGCGGAGAAAATTGCATCAATGATGGGTTCAAGATTAAATTAGCATCCGCCATCATGAAGGACATCGATGGGGAGTATGTTGAGAGCAATGGTATTGTCCATAGGAAGTCATTTTCGGGAGCGATTCAAATGCATTCCGGGGCCAAGTGCACATCCTCTTCCAGCTCTTCTTCTTCTTCGTCTTCTTCGTCGTCGTCTTTTTCGCTTAATTTGAATGGGCTGAATGAGTTTCAGCTGCTGAAAAGGAGCAGCAGCGCGAATTCGGAGCTGGAGAGTTGGATTGAAGGAGCGATTGCTCACTGCAAACGGTCTCAACACACGTTTGTTTAGTCTCTCGGGAAGAATCCCTCAAGAGAGAAGTTGGGGTCATGACTCTGTGATAATGGATCCAACAGTGAGTGTTTCGTGTTTGAGTTGAATTTCAACAGCTCTATAGCTTCAGTATACAATGTAATATGTACATGAACTCTCTCTTTGAACAGTGGGCAAGTATCAAGTCGAGATGGTTCACCATATTTGTTGATCCCCCGTGATTTTTTGTTGAAAGCTTACTTAAAGAGTTCACCTATGCCCGATGTATGAAGGCATTGCAGCATACAACAAAGTGATTACGGCGCAATTTGATAAGTGAAAGCACGTGTATATGCCATATAAATTAATGAACCGACACAGTATTAAGAATGTTAGATATGAGGATGACACTCAAATACAGCTTAATTGCCAACAAGTTTTGATTTATGGGGATAGAAAAGGTTGTTATCTTAATTCATTCATCGAATAAGTTTAAAAGAGTGTTGTTTAAAGGGAAAAAGTTCATACTTCCATGATGATCTGACTTGTTGGATATCCATTATTCACAGCAAGGCAACAAGAAGACATGAGCGTCATGGAAAAAAGAGAGTAGAGAACTTGAAACTGGAAAAGATACAGAAAAAGAAGTGATAGACTGTAGTTCAGTTCCGATTGATACGTTGCCGAAAAAGAAAATTTCTTCAATTGATGCACTTTCTCGAGTTAGGTCACAATGTACGCCGGTGGATGCCTTACTTTGTTGGGACTGGACACGAGGGCTAGTATGATGCGCGAAAGCTGATCCACAGCATCGCCTTAACAAAAAAAAAGACGCACACAAAAAGGCCGCCGAAGCTTTTGTTTTAGCAAAAGTAGAGCATAATAGGACGTTCAGCACAAATGCGTACGTCATCCTTTTTTCTAACCGTGAAGAACTGAACTAGATTCTCTAGTCTACTGCTTGAGCTGTGGTCCTAAGGTCGTAAAAGGCATGGTATCTTCCAAGCACAGTTAAAGTTTTTGCTGGACAGAAGCAAAAAGAGAACTGTGCATGAAATTGATGAACATCATCAGTTCCATTATATTCTGTTGCTGCTACTACGTGTAGAAGTATAAAGTTGGCCAAAAAAGTCTGCGGGTGTGTGGTTATTGAAGGGGTCAGAAAGCACCTGATTCCCTTTTTCGGGAAATAAAATCAGGTAGATGACATTGGCAAGGATTCCAAAAAGGAAAATTATATGGAACACAGTGTAATCTGGGTATTACACAACCCATCATTGATATCGATAGTTATAGTTTGGGGGAGATAAAAAGCAAGTTAGACCCAAGGTTGGCTAAATGGTCCAAATTTCTGGACCCGACGCAGTGGATCTCATTATCAAATCACAACTTCTTTCCGAGGTAACTCGGTGGTCACTCCCACCATCCTTATGAATGGAGTGGTTTGCAACTCGTTGGAGTTTAGAGCTGAATGTTTGAAAAACCAAACTGTAGCTCGACTAGTATGAGCCCATTAGTACATGGGGACAGTTAGGCAGATATTTGGGAAAGAAAGACGAATGCATGGAGAGAGGGAATAGAAACCAGTTCAATTCTCCAGTTGCAGCATGGCAACCAACTAATCAACAATACGAAACACATAATCGGAACGCTGAGATACAAATGCAGAGCTATAGTCTTCAAGAAACTCAGATAAAGAAGATAGAAGAACGATTTCTCGAGCATGTTATCCCCATGTTGTTGTTCTTGATTTTGACTGGACTTCACACTAGGGAAGCACGTCTGCTAGATTTCGACATCATTAGATAAAGATCACTGAACTGGCGAGTTTTCGTGGGTCATATGAGAGTTCGGACAAAAGCAAAAACTTCCCCTTGGATGTACAAAGGGAAACATCTACTTGCTTTTCTCCCAGCAAGAGTGTTGCCTGCAGACGCATCTAGATTCCGAACAGAAACCCAAGAACCGGCCTTCAATTGATGTATAAGATCTTTTAGTAGATTTGATCTAATCAAAGACCGTGCTCGCGCGCTGTGCGTGTGTATACCATTAGCATTTGCGGAACAAAGATTAATTAAACGGACTTTTGTTGAGGAAAAAGAAGCAGAATTATTGCAAAAATGGTGTTTTGAACAGATTACATTACTGCCTATAAAAGATCAAGAAAAACGATCTGCACAACCTTGTACAGTGAAACATGACACGGGTGGCACTGCTGGGGCCGGTCAGCAACTGGAGCATGTGGGCAATGTCAGGAAAAGATTCATTCATGGCATCAACGATAATCTTTTCTACGGAGACATATTGGGAAAAAGAAAGAAATCTGCAAGTAAATTGTCATATCCACACTTTATTCTGGTGCCAATGTGACACCACTGTAAAGTAAAAGCTAGGAGAAAGCTGATCAAAGAATATATTTCCTGTATTTACTATTTCAGTAAATTCTCTCTCTCTCTCTCTCTCCATCTGTGTGCAGTGGTTTCTGGGCACTGCATGGCAGCATTGATGAATCAACAGGGAAGAGCCAACGAAACCATTTTCTATTGCATGTCACCAGAAAAGCTTCTCTCTGCACGTTGTGTAATTATGCTATTTGTTGATACCTAATTTTTAGCCGACGTGTCATTAAAAGCAGAAAATTCGAAATTATGATTTTCGATAGCGACGGAACCCGTTTCTTGAACAAAAAGTGGCGTTTTTTTAATTCTGTTTGTTGGCCTAGCTTCTGTAAACAATTTTCTATTCATTTCATACAAAAACCCGAAAAGTCAAACGGTTGACTTTCGCGTTGACTTTTTGGTCAACCCTTGATCAAAAGTCAACCCCGGGTCAATTTGGGGCTTTTTGCATAAAAAGATTCCTTTCAAATGCAATTTCACTTTAGAAGTAGAAATTTCAAAAAAATTCAAAGATTTGATCATAAAATCAAGCTCCTAGTGAAAGGCCAACTAGGGTTTGAGGTTTGACCAAAAAAATTGAAAAATACAAAAATCCCAAAAATCATCTTATTTTACATTCAATTTGACTTTGGCATTTGAAATTTTACAAAAATCGATTTAGAATCAACTTTTTCCCAATCTGCGGAATTTGGTTCAAATTGGCCAAAAATGAAATTACTTTATTTCTAGTCATTTTTTAGGTTAGTTTCATTCGTGACATTTGATCTAGAGGTTGTATTACTTTCAATTTTGGAACCAATTTTCTGATTCCAAGCCAAACGCAAAAACCCCCAATTTAGACCCTAATTAGTGATTTTGATCAATTCTTCATGATTTGTGCAATTGAGACACGAATGAGCCTAATTTCTTATATGAAATCCAAATTCGAAATCAAAATTGAAAGATTCACATGAATTTGAGCTAATTCGATCAATTTAGTGAACCAACGATTGAGAAGTCTAAGAGTAATTGATCCAATTAGTGCAATTCAACTTGACCCACTCTAGACTAATATTCAATTTGATGAATTGAGACTCAATTTGGCTAATTGGACTTCAATTAAATTCGTTAGTCTAGCTTGGCCATGCAATTAACTCAAATTCAAGAACAATTGAGCTAAAAAAGTTAAATTGGATCAATTTGTGCATGAATTTCAAATCGGTTCAATCCAATTTAATCGAATTCAATATTAATTGCGTCAATTAATCATGATAGAGATCAAATTGTACAAAATTGGAACAAATGGAACCAAGGATTGAACCAGTTCAACCCGGCCAAACTCGGGACAAACCGGTTCAACCCGGTTTGATTCGAATTGAACCGGTCTGATCGGATTGGCTATTTTTCAGTCAAAAATTCGGCGATCGGCGGTCTATTCCGACCAGTCAAGGCCGGCCACATCCCTTTGAGCCAAAAAATGACAAAAATGCCCTTAACTGAAAATTATGAAAATGCCCCTAAGTGAAATTACCAAAACGCCCTTCATTAAGGATTAAGCAAATTAATTAGATGGTAAGCAAATCAATTATGGCCATTCATTTAAAATTGATCATGACCATCCATAATGCCATGTCACCTATCCTTAGCCCTTAAGGAGTGTTCTTGATCATTAGGAATGCATTCTAGGCTATTGGATCAATCTAAGGGCTATGATTCAAAGTTAAGGAGAGTATATAGACTTTTTCCCTCCAAAATTTTGTAAGGTCTTACATTTTCAGATCTGAATTCTCTCTCTCTCTCTCTCTCTCTCTCTCTCTCTCTCTCTCTCTCTCTCTCTCTCACGTATCTCTCTCCCTCTTGCTTTCTCTCTCTCTCGGCCGCGGGCCTTTCCACCTCCCGCTGGCCATTTTCCGGTGAGTCGCTGCTTCACCGCTGTCCTCCACGACTGAAAAGGTTGGTCACAAGACCAGCTGTTCTTGTTGGTGGCCGGAGTTGCTATGTCCGGCGTGATCTCCTTCACGGCAACATCATCGGCATAGGCGCCGGTGATTGAATCAGCCAGTTCAAGAGGCTGAATCGGCCGATCAGCGATCCTTCCGGTGATCTCGAGCCTCCAGCAACTTCCCTCAGTGTTCTCACGTGGCTGTGGTGGCCAGCTTTCACCGGAAAAGCCACCGGAGTTCAACTTTGAGCTTGATTTTACTTCTTCATCTTTAGATCGCAATTTTACGCCGATTTTCTTACCTTGTGACGTAGATATCGGGAGCTATATTTGGCGCCATTCCGGAGTTCATCGGTGGCCAAAATAGCTCGTTTGAGCTCAGCAACACTCTTGAACAAGGTAGGTATATTTGGATGTTATTCTCTGAAATCGTGTACAGAGAGGCCTGCATGTTCGAAATGCTGATTTCAGCTCGTAAAGGTCGAAATCATGCAAAGTGATGAACTAGAGAATCGTAAAACTCATCTCAAGCTTCGATTTGATATGTCGTATGCCTTAATCGGACTTTGTTTGCTAGGTGAAAATCACTTTGTAAGCTAGGATCAGAATCTGGAATGTGATGTTCTATTCTGTTTTGATGATTTCCTGATTGACGTCATGCTGTTCTACGATTTTTATAATTTTCTACGATCGTTTTTTGAAGAAACTTTCTTCATGAAAGTCATAGAAAACATCCTAATCTATTCATCATAAAATTTTCATAAAATTACAAGCATGTTAGGATAGGACGATTTACAACGTCATTTACGTATAGATCTGATGATAGATGAGTTTCTGACTAACCTTCATGTATTCTTTGATTTTTATAAATTCGTGTGTTCAAAATATGAAAAAATGTTCTT